GGGGGGGGGGGTGCAGCGCGGCGGAGAGGGATCGGCACAGGGGCACACGGGGTCTCTCTCGCGGCGGAGCGAGATAGCATCTCCCACCAGGGTTCACCCCCACTGTGGGTGCGGGAACCCAGCCCGGGGACCTCTCTCACATCGGAGGGCGCCTGCGCAGTCGGCACGCCCGACGGCAGGTACTTCTGCTCGATGGGCGGGAGGCCGACAGCGCGCAGGCCCGCGTGGGCGAGCTGGCTCGGGGCGTACGGCGAGCAGCCGGCGAGGCTGTACGCGGCATGGTCGGGAGGCGGGGCCGGGCTGGCCGCGTCGAGCTCGCCCTGCTTGTAGAGCTTGCCGGCGGCGCCGACGGCGCCGCCCCACTTTGCGGACTCCTCGAGCGCGCACGCGCTCAGCCGGAGCAGCGCGCTGAGGCACTTTTTGCGCGGGGCCTCCTCCTTCTCAGCCGCACCCGTCGGCGCGGCGCCCGCCAGCGCGAGCCGAAAGCCGTGGGACGGCGGCGCGCCCAGCTCCTCCACCTCGATCGGCGGCGTCAGCAGCGGCGCGTGCGTCTGCGGCGGCGCGGCGCGGTGCTGCGGCGCGAGCAGGCAGAGCAGCCGCGCGCCGGCCTCAGCCTCGGCCGTGTCGCGCTCGTCCGAGCAGCTTGCAGTCGGCCCGCCGACGGCCTGCGCGACGGTGCGCACGTTGAGGCGGTGCGTCCACGCCGCGTCGAGAAGCCGCACGTCTCGCTCTGGCGTCCAGCCAGCCTCGCAGCTCTTTCCGGCGCCGGCGCCGCCGCACGCGGAGTGCGCTGACTGCGCAAAGGCGACCAGCCGGCTGCGGCCGTGGGTCGGGCACCCCTGTGGGGTGTGGGGGAGGGTGGTGGTGGACGGCGGGGGGGAAGGCCGGCGAGCTTTGGGGAGGGAATGAAAGCATGGGGAGGGAGGGGCCCGCGGGGGGGGGGGGGGTTTAGGGGGCTTTTTGGACAAACGAGGAAAAAAAAACCCCGTCCCGCTACTGGGCCCACAAATTCAGGGCCGGGCAAAGAAGGCTATTTACCAAAGCGGGGCCCGCCCCA